GTCACTAAAAATTCATAAGGGCCACTAGTTGGCTTACAAAACAAAACAATTTGCTATTAATGGAAGAAATCAATCAATTATTATTCTGAAGTTCTACTCTTGGTCTTAGCTTGCTGGATCATCTTTCTGGCCACGTCACCTGTGTTTCCTATGGAAAGTTAAGGGGAATCAGGTTCTAAAGGTTTAGCCATTTGAGTTGGAATTTGGTTACATTCAAGCAGGAAGGGATAAAATTCAATATAAGTTGGGCTACGGCACGAGCCATAGCTAGAGTTGCAGTTTGGGCTAACATAGGGGCTAGGGTTACGGTTTATACTGTGTTTTGGACTAGATACTTGACCTCTTGGGACAAGGGGTTCAGGAGAATGAGGTCGGGATTCAAAGTCATTTGGGTGAGGGATTTCTAAGTCATCAGATGATGTGTAGTCAAGATGCAAACGTGGAGGTGGTAAGGGTAGCATATCATAGTTTAGATTATTTAACTTTTGGACTTCTTGAGGTGTAAGCCGAAGAGGAATTTCAGCAACTATTGGTCTTGGGATTCGACTCCAGTCAACTTCGGCGAAATGTAGGTCTGCTTTAAAATTGGTTAAGATTCCTAGCCATTTTCCTTCATGCATATAGGTTTCAATATTCAACAACCCATTTGGTTTAATTAAATTTCTATACTTTCGGATTAATGTATTATATTTAGGTGTGTTGGGTAAGTGAACTAAGGCCAGTAGGATGATCCATGGTTCCTCGATCATAAATTTCATATTCCTGTGTCTTTTTATATCAGTTGCATGCCAAACAATGTCTGTTATAAAGTCACGCACAGATATAACATCCGATTTTACTAGCCTTTGATCAAAGAAATGTCTTCTAACAGTTTCCATCATCTGTGATAACACAAACTATTTAAGTAAGCAATTCAAATTTTTCTCAAGGATAAATCCAAAATGAATACCAATGGACCAAAATTCCATAACCACACAAATAACTAGACGACCCTAATTATACTTAGACTAATGCACATTAGGTGTTTACAAAATCAAATAGTTTCAATTCATTTTGTTTTCGAAAATAATAATGTACTCGATTCTTGATATTGGACGGTCGAGCCCGTGTCTCCCAAGAAAGTTACCTATAGCGTCGAGGCGAAACTTTCCTAGACAGAGAGTCGTGCCCATTATAGGCCTCCGAAGAGAACCCGAGCATCCTTTTCTCAATCACCTTTCCAAATAAGAAAATAGTTTTTATAGAAAATAATTTTACTTCGAAGAATGCGAAACTCTATATATCCTATATGCCCATCTTAAGTCTACCTATAAGTTTTATTTTTCAATTTTTAATCTTTCGTAGACCCGGAAATCTGATACCACTTTGTAACAACCCCAAATCTCCCTCTACGTAAATACTATATTTATACATATAGAAATACCGTATAGATAGACTTGGGCGTATTACCGCCACGTGAAAACGTAAGGCTTAATTAATTACTCAAATTGCAGCGGAAAAATAACTAACTTTTATTAATAATATGAATAACCATAATAACTGTTTCAAAATAAACCAATAAAAATTTGTCCATACATAAATAAAATTAATTCCTAACTATGTGATCCCAATCCTGACTCTAGTATGCACACGAACAACTTCACACCTGAAATCAAAACTACTTACCAAAATGGTAAACAGGGCGAACCAAAACAAAAAGGAAAGCAGATTAGCAAAAACGCTAAGTACGTATAAGTGCAAGGCACGTAAATACTTTTATTAGGCAAACATGCTTTCGAAATAACCATTTAAAATTAAACCTGTCATGAGTCATTTTCCAAAATTAATCTTTCCAAAAATAATTAAACCTTCCGAGGGTAGTAATATCCATCAATAAAAGCTTTCCAAACCAATATATTTCCAATTTATAAACTTCTCAATTTTTTTTGATATATTTCTAAACCAATTTTCCTCACCTAAGTGCGCACACCCCCCAAGCAAGTTATCGAGGAAAGACCAGATCATACAAAGTTCATGGTCTTACTTAACCAGTCCCGGGTAGAGGGACAATTAAAATATCAAATACTCAGGCTCATAATGAGCTGAAATTTAATTGAATCAAGTGATTTATAAGTCAAACAACTTTTATTAAATCGATCAACACTTTTAGAGATCAAACCTTCAAATCATAAAATTACATACTTTAACTCGTCATGAAAATTGTTATCTTAAATATTCATACGCAACATTTAATCAAACAATCATTAAAACAAACATTATACAAAACACGCATTCAAAAAATTGTATCAAGGACCTAACCACCTATACGTACCTTGATCACGAGAACAAAAACGTACGACTACTAAACTTGACCACGATCGAGAGACTCCTCCTACGCAAATAAAATAACCTTAATTAATATAAGGTTAACAAAATAACACAAAACCAAAAACACCATTCTATTATGCATGAACTACCTAAATATTAACCTTTATCAAAATAGTGCTATTTGTATATATGGGTGGTCGTTGGTGGCGGAAGAGGTAGTTGTTCGGTGGCAACAACTTGGTTATGGGTTGTAGAGTTTATTTAAGCTAGATAGAGTAAGAAGATGGGGGTGATGAGATAGAGAGTAGAGAAGAGAATTTCTGATTTGGTGTGAATAAGTGGGAAGAATTAAGGATCTATTTATAGTGTTTAAGGGGTAGTAAGATAGAGTTAAAGGAGAATTGAGATTAACATGGGAACATGATAAATGTAAGTTTGTTAAATGAATATGAGTGAAATTTAGTCTAGGTTAATTCATGTAAAAAAAATCCAATGGAAAAGATTAGAGATGGAATTAAGATAGATGCTAATTTGGTTAAGGAAGGTAGAAGGTAAAGTAAGATAAATTAAAAGATTAAATGCTTAAAGTTAAATAGGATAAAGCTAAGCCATGATAAAAACAACTAGGCCTCAACAAACTCACGGCCATTTTGTGTGTGTGTGTGTTTTTTTTTTATTTTTTTTTATAAAAAAACGAAAATCATAAATAATAAATATAATAATTGAATTTGATGATTAAATCAAGTTATTATATAAAATATAGATAATATCAAAACTAAGATTAGTTATAATTCATGAGAAAATAATTAAGATAAGGTTTTAAGTATTATTAAGGTAAAATCCGGAAACATAATTATTTTTTATTATTATTTTTTAAATAAAATAAAATAAATAGCGTACAACGTTAACTAATAAATTATGGACCGACCAAGATCATAATTTATTTAATTATTCCAAATAATTAGAGATATTTCTAAAATAATTAGGAAAATGTTTCAAAAAAATTAGGGGTATTACACCTTCACCCTGTGAACGGTTTACAAGTTCCTAAAACTTGTTGGCGACTCTTTTTCTCTAGCTTCCTTCCCTTTGGACGCCACCATGCTTAAGTGTATGATCATAGTGGGGTTTAATTTTTGGGTAATGCTTGAAATATTCCCTACAGATAGCTATATCTCTCACATAATGAGTCACCTAATATGTATAAGGCGACTTAATAGGTTAATGAGTCGCACCTCATATACAGGTGACTTTGAAAATATTATATTATGTGACTTGTAAACCTATCAACTCACCTCATGTATATTAGGTAACTCGTTAGGTGCTTTGTTGATTTTAACTCCAACTCTACAAGTCGCCTAATTAGTAAGAGGCGACTCGATATGTTTACAGGTCGCACCTTATATACGGGTGACTCTAAAAGTCCGAGTTGTTAGGTGATTTATTATATGACCATGACAGGGTAAAGTCTTATACCTAATCAAAAGTATTACCCTAGTCCTCTAACTAATGTAGATAAGGAAGTAGGATCGAATCCACTGGGAAAAAAGTCTTTCTATTTCTAATTAATTTATATAATCTAAACTATTGAGTAACCAAATTGTTGTGAAGGGAATTAAACTAAGGATAATAATTAAGGAGAAATCAATAATAAGGAGCCTAGGGTCACAAGTTCACCAATAGTTAATTCTCCGGGATAACACATAACAATCAATAATTAGTATTGCAAACATAACATGATTAACAACCTCTCGCAATTTATTAATCAACATAGATCTAACACGCTCTCGCAATTTACTAGATCTAAGTTCCTATTGAAAATGGCCTTTAACATTAAAATTAACATATGCTAGATTCAACAATTCAATATTGCTTTACAATCAAATCACATCTGCTCGATTCATAATCCAAATATAAAGAATTAAAACCATTCAATAAGAAATTATCATGCAATATCAATAATCAATCAATATAAATCATCCCTTCATATTAATTACGGATCCCCAAGAACCCTAGAATTAAACTACTCATGCATAATTAAATCTAAACTTAACAAAGTAATTAAATTAAGCATGAATAAAAGCAATAAAATAAGACTAGAATAATACAGAGAAATAACCAAAATCTGACAGAATGAAAACAAGAAACTGACAAAAGCTTAACAACTAAACTAAAGAGTATGATAAAAAATCTAAACTACTAAGCTAATCTAATCTAAAAAATAATCTAAGAAAACTTACGTGCCCCCTGTACTTCCCCTTATTTCCTTTAAATAAGAAAAGTTAATGAGCCACTAATCCCTCTAACAATAGAACTCCTATTAACTAAATCATAGGCAAAGTCTAAGAAGTCACGTGGTCAAGCCCTACATAAGAACCTAATTCCTAATGACTACACCCCCCTTAGGATTTAATACCTACTCCCCCCCCCTCCAAAACTACAATAAAACCCTTACCCAAACCCTACGAACCATACATGTAGTTACCATCCACTAACCACGGTAAACCCACCTCCCACTAACCAAGCAGTTACCAGCCACTAACCACGGTAAATGCAAGTAACCGCCCATTCCTCCCATATATATACAAAAAAAAAATCCAAAGCATCATTTCAAATAATTTCGTGAAATTCTCTCTCATCAAACCCAAAAACTCGCATGAAAATCACTTCAAATTGCATCAAAACTTCTAAAAATGTCTGACAATCGAGATGAAGTTCGTCAATCGCAACGAAATTCTGAAAAAGAAGAGTAAGAATTTGTTCATTTTAGTAGAATTTGAGTGTAAACCCTATATTTTTTTCGTTCTGCTAACCTAAAACAAAATCAACTATAATTACACTTATTTTTGTGCAAAATAGAGTAAAATTTGCTATATTTGGTGTTTTTGTAGAAGCGAAACAGAGGAGAACACTTCGAAGCTACGTCGGAGAAGAGGATTGTTGAAGAAATGTAAGTTACATTTTTAAAGAAAATGTGCAATTGCTAGTTAAATAATGGATTTATTAGCAAAAACATTGACAAATTCAAACAAGATGATGGACTTATTAGCAAAAACATTGCTGGTTAAATAATGGATTTATTAGCAAAAACATTGCTAGTTAAAGATGATGATGATCAACCTATTCAAACAAGAGTAGAAAAACTAAAAAAAAGTTGCGAAGAAAAGTCACCAGTTGTAGATCCAAATCTTTTAAATGAAATAAAATGGTCTTATGATACAGATACAAGGTAAGATATGTTCATGTCCTGAAAATTATATGATCATTTTGTTTAATTGACTATATATGCCAAAATAACAAATGCTCATTTATATGTATAGTAGTATTCATTTTGAAATATATGTTTATATTATTTCATTTGAATATAGATATATGTTTTTTTTGCCTAAATATTAAATGTTCATTTCTTGTAAACATAATGCACATATGATATTGATATAATATGCATTTGATTTGTATGACTAAATGAAAAATGTTCATTCTATATTGTAGTGATGTACCATTTAGAGTGAAACATTTGCTTCAATTTAGAGATGGAAAATCTGAACCATTAACTCTAATGAAGGTTAAAAATGAATTGGGTTGTAGTTATCAAAGATACATATTGAACAAGAAGTAAGTTTATATATAAAAACATAATTACTTTTATATACAATCATTGTGCATTGTGTATATATATCAAACTTATTAAATAACTCTTAAAATTCTAGTGAAAAAAAAGGTTCGACTGAAAATTGTAATGTCAAAATCAAGATCACCAGAGACAAATCAACCAATAAGGTATAAAAACTTTATATCAAATATTTACTTCTCATCATTATATAGATTAGTTTCTACTCCAAAAGCATATTCTAATTCTAATTTTTTTTTGTAAACAAAGAGAGACAAGGAATCAATATGAATCAAAAGATGACAAACAGGACAAGTATTAAAGGTATATAAATTCATAAATGTTCATTTTTGTTTACATAAATGTTCACTTTTCATACAATATTTGTTCATTTTTAATAATTAAAAAAATTTAAACAATATTCAGTGATAAAGATGTGGATCAAAATAAGGATGCAAAAACATCTGAGAAGGACAAACAGGATGTGCATCAAAGGTATTAGCAAAATTGTTCGTGTTTCTTTTTTTTTTTATATAAATCCAATCTTTTAAAAAATGTTCATTTTTGTTTACTTAAATGTTCATTTTCCATACAGTATTCAGTGAAAAAGATGCAGGACAAAAACAATATGCAAATACCTTTGAGAATGACAATAAGGATGTGGATCAAAGGTATTAGCAAAATTGTTCATTTTTTTTATTATGAATCCAAATATATTAAAAATGTTCATTTTTGTTTACTGAAAAGTTCATTGTTTATACAATATACAGTGAGAAAGATGTGGAGCAAAGTTAGGATGCAAATACCTCCGAAAATGACAAAAAAAATGTAGATAAAAGGTATTTGCAAAATTGTTCATTTTATATTTATAAATGTTCTATATGTTTATTTTCTATATACTTTATGTTCATTTTTTATATACAATATGTTCATTTACATATTTAATTAATCACAATTATAAATCCAATTATATTTCAAATGGTTTATCAGAAAACACAAAGGTGATGATCAAGTGAAGCCAGCAAAGAAAAAGAATCAGTAAAAAATAATCACTCTAAAAGGCAAGATGCAAAAAATACATTTAGACATAGAGAATAACCCAAAGTATGTACAAATTTGAATAATTAAAAACTATGAATAATACTGTACATATATTAAGATTTAATAAACCTACCTCACAATTACAGGAAGTACAGAGAATCAACAATCAGAATTATGCAAAATCTGAAGAGAATGGAAAAGGGAAGTAAGAAAAATGAAACAAGCAAGAAGTTAAAAGAAGGTAAATGTTCATAAATGAAACATATATTAAATGCTTACTGTTATATGTTTGAAAATATCTAATAATGTTGTTAATTTACAGATAATGTTTCAGAAAAAAAAAAGCCATGAAAAGGAAAAGAGCCCTCCAAAAGAAAATGTTAAGGTTGATATTACAAAGACAACACAGCTGAATCAGAGTGTTGAAAATGTAAAAGGTAAAATGTTCATGTTCATTTTGTAAAATAATCAAATATATTACATATAATGAATATGTTTTCTATTTTTACAAAAATGTTCATTTTATATTACAGATGATATTCCAGAGGCCAAGAGGACTGCAAAAGAAAAAAGCCATGAAAAGGAAAAGAGCCTTCCAAAGGAAAATGTTTAAAATGCTCAAGGTGAAATGTTCATATTTGTTATATAAAATGATCAGTTGTAACACATAAAATGAACATGTTCACTGTTTTAACATAATTGTTCATTTCATATTTTGTTTGTGATCATTTGATACAACTATTAAAGTACATGCTAAAATAAATGTAGCAAACAAATCATTGGATGAGGTCGCTATTGAGGATGAGACTCACCTCATTAATAAAGAAAATGAAACAGATAGTCTTGAGGTTACTGCTTCAATTGATCTCAGTGAAGGGTCATTAATGAGAAAAAACAATTTTACAATGGTTGCTAGGAGGGGAGGAAAAAAAAATATCCCTTTAGTAGAAGAGATGTCAATTGGTAGAATTACAAGAAGCAAAGATAAAGATATATATTTTGTGTAGTTTTCTAGACATAAAAAATTTAAAATTGACATAATATAATTGTTGTTATCTAATTGTTGAAAAAGGCATGTCTGAAGCTTCACAATCTGAACCTGCTATCAAGGAAGCTTCACCAAAACAAAAAAAAAGGCATATGCTCTTGATGAAGCAAAACAATCTGGACCACTTGCAAAATTTCATAAAAAAGGGCAAGCAAAAGATATTAGTCCCATACAACATATGGCAGGTGCTGCTGCTGAAAAAGTAAATAAAAAGGTAAATATTCAATATATTTTTTATCAGAATAATTTATAGTAGTGTAAAAAAGTAATGAACATATTACTTTTTGGAAATAAACATTTACATTTACAAAAATGGTCATGTATGTTAATTTTATAAAGGAGGAAAAAAGACAAATGCTGCTGATAAAAGAGGTCAACCATAGGATATTTCTCCTATTCAAAAGAGACCAGGTGCTCCTGCTAAAAAATTTATTCAATTAGGAAAAAAAAGATATGCTCCCACACCAGCAGGAGGAATAGTGAAAATTGCTAAGAAATTTGGTATAATCATGTTCTTTATGAATGTTCATTTTCAAAAAAACAAAATGATCATATATGGAAACATTTATACTCATTTATATATATAGTAAATTTTATATGCAATTGATTAATGTTCATATTCAATACATTAAATGATCATAGTTGATGACTTTTATATTCATTTTCAATTGTCAGCCCTGCTAAGAAGAATATTGGGAAGAGGAAAAAAAATACAGGATTGTAGGGAATATTTCAAGCATTACCCCAAACTTGAACCCCACTATGATCATACACTTAAGCATGGTGGCGTCCAAAGGGAAAGAAGCTAGAGCAAAAGAGTCGCCAACAAGTTTTAAGAACTTGTAAACCGTTCACAGGGTGAAGGTTACACCTCTTAACGATCTAGGAGATCGTCAACTCCAATAGGTCTGAAACCATGACTGGTTTTCGGGGATGAGGGTACGAATCCAATCTAAAAGAGATTAAACCCGCCCTATAAATAGGCCTCTACTTTATTCTACTCGTATTCATGTGCTCTTTCTGACTAACATACAATTAATAGGTTTACCCTAAACCTGTTTAATCTATGTTGGTTGAATATTAATGCACAAACAAAACTATTATTGGCGATCACTTGAATTATAATCATATTAGCCTAAACAAGATTATTAATTATCTTATCAAGCGTGATTACAAGTACAAATTTCCTTTAAACATGCATAAAAGGCGTGATCAAGAAATAACGACAAATATATATCAAGCAACATAATAACAATCATCATAATAATAATCAAAATAACAATCATAATAAAATAATTATAAAAATCATATTAAAGCATAATAGTAGCAAGATCCTATAAAGCAATAAAAACAATTAAATTGGATAATTAAAATAGAGATTTGGGACCAAAACCTCAGAAATATCAAAACTTTCATGTCTAGGGAAAAGGCAACTTCAAACTTGGCTAGGTGTGTCTAGTGCTAATGAATGAGGAATTGTGTTTGTATAAGGCTAGGCTAGAAAGAGGGAGAGAGAGAAAAACATTAGAGAATTCTGGTTGAGAGTTGATGATTGAAAACAGAGGTCCAGGGACTCTATTTATAAGAAAATTGTGCGGAATTGATAGAAAAGAATCAGAGTTTGAAAAGGAATAAAACTTCCTCCTGTCGCCAACGACAGAGCTCGTCGCCAGGCGACGAATCTGTCGTAAGGCGGTGCAAGACAATTTTTTGCGGATTTTGTTTTTATCATATCTTTTGATCCAAAAGTCTAAATAAGTCAAATAATATGTTGTTGGAAAGTTCTTGAAGTCTACTTTCCAACCAAATTGGAATACCATTAAAATATTTTTTAGTTAAAAAGATATGGCCGAAATATTGAAAGGATGTCAGTTTTGGATAGAGTTTCGTATTCCATTCATATCTTTTTCGTTATAGCTTGGAATTAATATTATAATATATCATTGGAAATATAATTTCAAAATCTATCCAACAATATAAGATTTGGATAAATATTATGAGTCAATAAAAATAATATCTGACTGTTTTTGAACATCTTTAAATTCGAATAGAATTAGGATTAAAAAAAAGGAAAGTTTTATTCAATTTCAAACTCTTTGATTTTATCTTTTCAAAAAGGATAATTAAGATCTTTTAGAAACTTATGGAAGTTTCTAATTAATCCTAGTTTTTTTAGGAATAGGATTAAACCTTTGGACCCTCTACATGATCATTGAGCCGTAGGTAAAATCCAGTTTGGGCCCAGTTCAGTATTTTGGCCATAACTTCCTCATTATTTATCGTAATTGGGCTTATAAAATATCGCTGGAAAGGTCTTTTCAAGCCCCATCAAACTACACTATTATTGGACCCATATAATGGACAAAACTAAACAATAATGAACATTTTTCATAAATAGGGTAAAAAAGAAATATTTTCAAAAATAGAAAGAAAAGATATTTTAATAAAAATATCCTCATCACTAGACTTTTCACACTTTTGCTTTGTTATATAATCAAATGGCATGAAAGGTATTAATAACTGGGTTTTGTTTTAGGGAGACACATTTGGGTGTCTACAAGGATGTTCCATATGATGCACCATCTAGGATTCTTCCGATGAAAATTCCACTGACAGTGGTGATGATAGTGAAGATTATGTCTACAAAGTTGAAACAGAACTTGTCGATGAGGAAGATAATGAATTAGAGGAGGAGGAATTTAAAATAAAACCAAAGAAGAAAAAGGCAATGAAAGAGAAGGAGTAGAAGCAAGTGAAGGCAAAGACTGAAAAGGGGGAACAGAAGTTAGTGGTGTACAATCAAGGAAAGAGTGAAGGAAGAGGAAGATAAAAGATGAAAACTGAAATAGTTGAGGTTGAGGAAACTAAGGAGGTTGAAGAAACTGAGGAAGAGGAATTTGAGGAAGAGAAAGCATCAAAAAGTGGAGGACATGTCAAGTTCATAGCATGGATAGATAAAATGACAAAAGATCATAAACAACAAGTTGTTGATATAGGGTTAGGATCACTTCTTGACATCAAATTACCACAAATTGATTAAAAGTTTTGTAATTAGATATTGGATAGTTTTGAAGAGAGTAGTCAGACTTTTGAATTGCCAAAGAATGAAAAAATTGAAGTTGAGGTAGAGGATGTGAGGGTAATTTAAGGCTTGCCTATAGGAGAAATTCCAATTGTTGAGGCAAAGTCTGATAAAGTTATTGATGAATATGCAGAATTTTTGAAGAAATGGAGAAAGTCATGGGGAGGAAAAACTCCATCAGTAAATCAATTATGATCAATTATTTTTCTTTAAATGTTCATTTTTAATACATTAAATGATCAAAATGTAATTGTCTTGTTCATTTTCTTAATAGATTGTGAATGGATACATACATGATAAATTCATCAACAAAAGACCACCAAGTGAACACTTCATAACCAACTTTTTAGCAGTTGCTGTGAACTGCATGATGAAGTGCATATCAAACAATCAATGTCATTTCAAGTTTCTTTTCTCAATGATGGACGAAGAAAGAATAAGAAATTTGAATTGGTGTCAGTATGTAGTTGACTCATTAATTAAAAGTCATGTTGATTGGAGAAAGCAGCAAGGCAAGGGTTACTACAAAGGCCCTCTGTAATTTCTAATGGTAATATATGGTTTTATAAAATGCTCAATTATAATGTGAAAAATTTTCATTCATTTCACGATTAATGTTCATTTGTATTTTCATTAATGTTATTTTCTATTTTGTCTTATAGCTGTTTTATTTTGATAGGGTTCAAAGGTTAGACAAACGGCCTCCAAGAACATTCCCCATTATATCTGCTTTGAAAAGAGACATGGTTCTAGAAAGGTTAAAAACCGAGTATGAACTAGGGTTTGGAAGAGGGATAATCCTACCAAGAATTACTTTAAAAGTTGAAGAAAGTCCAAAGGTTAGGAAAATGATCAATTATAATGACATAAATGTTTAGTTTTGTTTATAATAAATTTATTTTGGTAAATCTTACAATTTGATCTACAATACAAGTTTTCATGGATGATTTGGTTAGCCTAGTGAAAGAGACTAGTGCAAACCTATCAAGACTTTTAGCAAAATTGATGATGGAAAAGGATATATTTACACAAAATAATTTGGTTAAAAAAGGTTGATGAAGTTTTAGGAAAAGTGGCTACAAGGGAGCAACCAATCCTAAGCCAAGATGAAGAGTTCTATGAAACAGAGGAACTCTTGAATGCAATTGCTCAAATTGAAAAAAATATGATGGAAGCTGCTGAAATGAACAAAACTATAAATTGGAAAGAGCATGATTTAAAGCATTCACCTTACATTTAACTCCGCCATCTCCAGCCATTGGTAAATAAAAACTAAATTCTTTTTTAAGTATCATGTTATGACTTGTATTTTAAAAATTCTCTTTCACTAACAATTTCTGTAACAGGTCCAACTTTTACAACAAAAGCTATGATTCTTGAACCCATAATTCCTGCAGATAAAAATGAAGTCTATGTTTCAACATTAATTGGAAAGGCTAATGAAGGAACTTCTATTACAGGTTCAATATGTACATAATTAATAATGATAATATTCATTTACAAAATTCCAAGTATATTCATTTTCAAAATTCCAAGTATATTTAATCCTAATTGATCATGTTCAATATTTGAAATTTCTAAAATAAATTGATCATATTTTATAGAAGAAATAAATGTTGCCTCTGCTCCAAAAGCAACTGAAAAGGCTAATGAAGGAAATTCAGCTTCAGGTAAAAGATGTTCATATGTAATAATAATAATGATAATTTACAAATACTTAAAATATATTTTATATTTATGTCTAGTTGTTCATATTTTACAGAAGAAAGAAGTGTAGCCTCTGCTCCAAAAACAACAGAATAGACTAATGAAGGATATTCATCTTCAGGTAAAATATGTTCATATATAATAATAATAATAATAATAATAATAATAATAATAATAATAATAATAATAATAATAATAATAATAATAATAATAATAATAATAATCATCATCATCATTTACAAATACTTAAATGTATTTTATTTGAACTTTCATGTACATAATTTATAATGCTCTGTTATTGTTTTTACTGAGATTATAGATCCAAAGAGTGGTACAACAAACAGTGGACAAACATGAAAATTAAATGAAGAAATGATGCACACCACTGAACACATTGAGGGTACTTCTAAGTTTTAACTAGAGCTGTCAATTCGGGTAAACGGGTCGGGTTTGAGTCGGGTCAGTGTGAGTCGGGTCATCTCGGGTCGGGTCAATACGGGTTAATGTCATAACATATGCGGGTCGGGTTCGGGTTGGGTAACGCTTGAGTCGGGTCACGTCGGGTTATACATCTTATCGGGTTTGGGTCGGGTTTAGGTCGGGTTAGTAAAAGGTTGGGTTACATTCGGGTCGGGTGAAAAAAGGTCGGGTTAAATTCGGGTCTTTACGGGTTTCAACGAGTTAGGGTCGTTCTCGGGTTTGAGTCGGGTTCGGTTCAAGTAAATTATTTACGGGTTATAATTAGGTCGGATCATTCTCGGGTTCAAGTCGGGTTCGGTTCAAGTCAATAATTTGCGGGTTATAATCAAGTCGGGTAATTTCCAAGTCGGGTCATTCTCGGGTTCGAGTCGGGTTCGGTTCAAGTCAATAATTTGCGGAAAACATGTTTCGTACCTTAAATTCATACCTAATAACATGTTGTGAAACTAACCTCTTAAAATTCAAAGTGAAACATTGAAGGAATAGAGTTCGGATTCAATTTCCGTTCCAATACCAACATGAGATAACGACCTATACATATTAATTCAATAACAGGTTGGGTTTAATTTGGGTCGGGTCAATAACAAGTCAATTTGATTTGGGTCGGGTTTGTAACAGGTCGGGTTGAAATTCGAGTCGGGTTTGTAGCAGGTCGGGTTAAATTTGGGTCGGGTTAGGAACATATCAGGTTGAATTCGGGTCGGGTTAGGAACAAGTCGGGTTGAATTAGGGTTTTGACATGTTAAAATGGGTTTGGGTAAATTTCAGTTCAGGTCGGGTTCGGTTCAGGTCAATAATTTACGGGTTACATTCGGGTCGGGTCGTCTCAAGGTCGGTTAATGTTCGGGTTTGGGTCTCAAATACTCGGGTCAACTCGGGTCTAGGGTTGGTTTTAGGTCGGTTTAGGTCAGGTTCGGGTCACCATTTTTTTCGGATTCATATGGGTCGGTTAATAGGTCGGGTTAGGGTCGGTATTTCGGATCGGGTCAGCTTTTGACAGCTCTAGTTTTAACTCCCCCAACATCCAAAAATCTTAATGATGAAAAGGATTGTGCACAGAGGTAAAGACAACACCTTAAGATCTTGTGTGTAATAGCAGTGTTTAGTAGTAAAAAATGAACAATTAAATGATTTTGGTTATGTAATTATTATGAATGTTTAGTTTAATTAAGAAATGTAATTTATGTGATTCAGTATGGAAAAAGTATGGTTGTATTATTTATGTTTTTTAGTATTTGAATATAAAAAATGTTTTGCAAAGATGGTTATTTTAAAAATGAACATTTAATTATTTATGATTGTTCATTTTCATTACCTACTAACTTTCTTTGATGTTTCAGTGAAAAGAAGGAAAAAGATTTAAAATCAGCAAAAGTGAAACAATGGTAAACAATGCTTAGTTTATTTCTTTTCTAACATTAATAAATATTAACATAAATTTATCCACTTGTACATGATCATTTTGGTTAAGGTAAATGTTCATTTGTAAAATGTAATATGTCCAGGGAAGTTAAAAAGAAGGTCATTGAAAAAAAAAAAGACTATTGTTGAAAGGTATAATATCAAACTTCCTCATACGCATTTTAAATGTTCATTTGTAAATGAAATAATGTTCTTACTTTATTTAATCTATTTTTAATGAATCAACAAGACCACAACGAGAAAGACAAACATTTCCTCTTGCTTTTCAGTCTCCTTACTTGATAAAATACAATGATCTATTCAAACATGAGGATACAATGAATAAAATTGCAGCGGACTTTGCTCTAAGTGGAAAAGATGCAAGGTAATTTTTTTTACGAATTTAACTTCAAAAAAAAAAAAAAAAACTTAGAAGTCAAATATATTATATAACAATATATTCTAATTTGGATGACCAAATGTCATTTTGCAGTGCACTTCTATATTCTGATGGACTCAATCTCATCAATAAAAAAGAAATGAAAACACTTGGAGATGATGTAGAAGTAACAGATTGTATGATAGATGCATGGGCAAAAATTCTTAATCATAAAAAGCCTACAAGTAAGATTTACTTCTCAACAATGACTCATGTAAGTTTTACTTCATTTAATTATATTACTAGTGTTGTTTCTATTTCCCTATTATAAGATTGATATACTAATTTGACTATGGATACATTTGATCATTTGTGAAATACTAAATGTTCATTTATATGTATATTAATGTTCCTTTTGAAATATATATTATAATATAACTGTTATATCTTCAAAGCAAATTATGTGTACAAATAGAGTTTGTCTCGAAGGCTCATCAATGGAGACAAAAATTAAAGCCTTCATAGAAAGAATTGACAATGAGTTGAAGCTGAATAAGATTGATAACATTATTGGATACAAACAGGTATTGCTATGAAAAGTTCATATAAAAATGTTCAATTATGTTTTGCAATATGATTAATAATAATTTTTTCTCTTTATTTTCATGTCTTCTTCCTAGTGGCAACATCTTAACAT